TTCTCTCTTTCAAAAGTTTTTACAAACTGCTTGGGAATCTGTTGGTATATTGTTGTTTCAGCACAGACTCCGTTTCGAACTTATGCAGACTCAGGCTGATCAAAATTTTCCTCAGCCAGACAGCCAGATTCACTCGCACTAACACGAAAGTGTTTCTTAAGGCGGACTCACTTGGACTCACTCAGAGCAAGATCTGAGTATGAGAAAGCAATTGAGTCAACTCCTGCGTAAGTTCGCCGACCTATGGTTACGAGTAGGCAATAAACCCAGACATTTCATGTGGGAAGCAAGCTGGGAATGTCACGTAATGTGAGGTTCTCCTTAACGCACGTTAGATTACGTAGCCGAAGCATCAAATCGTGTCGGGCGTACAGAAGAGTGGATTGTACAACCAGTGAGTGTTTTAAAGGGTCTCAATACAACGTTGAACAAACAACCATCATCAGCAGCAAAAGCATAGACAGAGTAGTTGCAGTAACCCTTTTGCGCACCGCCAGTGACATTTCCTCCTAGTCCGTGTTTTTTTAGCACAGTCATGCATTGCATTTTATTCGTGTTGTCTTGAAGACTGAGTAGTGAGCATCGCTAACTCGCAGGATCAACCTTCGAGTATAGTCGGCAGTTTGGAACTGTATCTACTTTCTAAAAGTGTTTAGAAAATATTGAACGCTTCATTTTCAAAACCACCCGTTTCATGGACGATCCCCCTAGTGGATTGCATTATGTTACTAAGAGAGCAAATTAATCAAGATACTTGCCGTAGGCTCCTTGAAAGGGGACCCCTCATTGGGACCTGTCATGGCCGGACGCTACGCAGAAAAGCTGCTAGGATCGTATACAGGGTCGGAAGTACCTACCTCTGTGAACACTTGTTCTGCTTGATGAAGGGGCACGAGTTCGGTCGAAGTTGAACACCTGTGGTTGTTCATGAGGCTCTCCTGCACATAAAAGGTGGATGTGGGCGTTTCTACTTGTCGCAGATAAGCGTTGTTAGGCATGAGGTCAATGTCTTCGAAACTTTGGTCGTTATTTCGCGCTTATAAAGAAATGGAGTTGTATACGACTCTGCCAAACGGTGCCCACACTGTCTTTCTCACCTGTTACGTTTATTAACGCTTTATTCAGGTAAGATGAATCGAAGCCATTGTTCTCAAAGAAACTTTTTCTAGAGGCACCACATGCAGTTCTCATGTGTCGAAACATAACTGTGGAACAAAAATTATATTGTCACGTGGTCACGAACGGGGCCAAGGGGACAGTCGACGTGTTCAAGGTGAAACATTATTTGGCCGAACTTGTGGCCGTTGAACGGAATGTCAGATTACAGCAATACACACTGGCACTGGTAGTGGTCGGCCGTCGAAAAAACTGATCAGCCCGTTGTGGCGCGCCGTTTTATTTTTTATAAATCGTGCGTCGAACTTCCCAGCCTTACCACTGGAGGTCGCGCAAGTTCTGGAATAAGCTTGAGTGTTCGCGTCCTCCGCGCAATCAGAACAAAATGATCTACTACAAACATGAAGCTTCTAAAGCACTGAGGCATGATCTGCGCCGAGTATTGCTCACAGTCTTTGTAGGTTTTAATCGAGTAGTACATCAAATTACACTCGTGGCAATAGCAGGGGGTGGAAACTCCCTATACCTCCCATGTATTCGCTTTCGGTAGCGGCAGCACCGATTTTATCACGTGTGGTTGCCGCGGGCATTTAACTAGGAAAATCAAGAACAGAAAAATTCATTTCATGAAGTCACTGGTGACATCCCAAAATAGAAGGAAAGGACGAAAAATTGAGAGGAGGAGGGTTGCCGCGAAGCCCTCCTTTCTCGCTTCGCATGCAAGTGGAATGCGCTCGTGCTTTCTGTCAGATCCGCTGGTGATATGTGGCCATAAAATTTTGTTAATCGTTTTTTTTTAAAATTTCGTTCGTGTTTTCTGAAGAGGCGACAGTAAATTGATTTATTATTGATACAAAACTCGATCGGCACAAATAAAACGAACTGCTTTATTGCACGTTTTGTATTAAAGAAACAGACACAGGCAGTGTGAAAGTGATAGTCTGTAAAACAGCCTTATTTTCAATTACCACGCGGACATAATGAGCGAACGCTCAGTCCAGAATATCCGAACCAATGCTAAAGTTATCAGCAATCGCTAGGGTGCGCGATATATTACTTTTTTTTTACTTCCTAACCAAGCATGCATGGGTACGAATGAGGTAGTATTTCGCCTTTAAAACGCCCAATTAGGATAAGTTGCGTTTACTGTGTAGGAAACGTCGTATTTCACTCAATCTCGTCTTTTAAGATGGCGCACATAGTTCTGTCGCAGAACTTGAGTAGCATACGAGACTGAAGTTCCGAGTCCCTGAGAGACTTGAAGCGATCAGAGGCCTTTCGAAAGAGAACGTCACTGGAAACAGTGTTTCGGCAAGATGACTTGTCTTCATCAGGGCAAAAGCGCTTCCCTGGTAAAGAAAAGTTCACTTTTCAAAACGTTGGCTCCGTCTATATTCTCTGCGATAGTTTTTAGAAGCATTTAGTCCATCACGTGTATTTGAATGACACTAATAGAAGTAAAGACTCACAAGTTTAGAAACCGCGGCGACAAGAACTTCATGAGCAGGACGCAGCATATAATTACTTGACATCATTTGAATTACATGCCAAAGTAAAAGAGACTATAACGATCTGGCCGAGCCATCTCGAATTCAAGCCTTTCAATAAACGCATTTTCCCGACAGGAGCCTACCGTCTTCACCAGTTAGTCATGCGACACTGCACTTCTGTCAGTCCAGTCAGTCTTGCAGAGAACGGGGTTTACTCATGTACTCCTCCAAAACCAATACCTGCTCAAATAAAGGGTCCAAGTTGTTGTGCTCACCCGTTGCCTTTAAGAAACGCTGAAAAAGCTTCGCAGAACTAGAGCTCTCTGGGCTAGCACACCGCAGAGCCGCGGAAAACATGTGTCGCCCGAATAAGCCATCTTCGACGAATGCGTGGTTGACTTGCTCAGCGTAGCTCTCTGCGGCTTGCGTTCTTTGCCAGCCACAACTTGCTGTCTTCTTTATCTTTCCCGTAGCTGGCACGCCCACCGAGCGAGACAACCTAGCGCTATCTAACTTTTAATATCGCGGAGCGAGGGGCGAGAAGGAGCGGAGGAAAGCTCTGCGAACGCTAGTCAATCACTTCCCGCGCTTCGACTAATCTGAAGTTAGCGAAATAAGGAATGAAAAAGGACACATAAACAAAAGAGAAATGAGTTTTTTTAAAAGGCTATCTTTTTCATTTTATCTGTAAAAACTTCTGAAAGCCAATAAATGTGAACCCTCCAATCAACCGGATCTGGACATCCGGCAATCGCTACGAGGGTGCATGTTCTTTGCAACCAAAACTACCTCTGTGCTTCCGGGGCCTGACAATATTTCTCAGTCAGTGCCCTCAGAGTTTAGTTATTCTGGAAGTTCGTATAGAAATGTTCCTCGAGGGACCTAAAGAAATTGCTTATTTATGAGAGACCAATGCCCTTCTTTCAAGAAAGGTTGCATCGGGGAGGGGGTGAAATTCAACCTTCTTTCTAGTCCCGGCCCTTCAGAACTGAATTTCATGGCTGTGTCCGGCCCACTAGCTGAGACAAGTTTGTGACCTTAGCCTATTTACCATAATCATCATCGGCCTGACTACGCCGACTGCAAGGCAAATGCCTCTCCCATGATCCGCCAATCAACCCAGTCTTGTGCTTTCTGCTGCCACGTTATACCTGTGAACTTTTTAATCTCATCGGCCCACCTAACTTTCAGTCTCCTATTCGTGCGTCTGCCTTTTCTAGAAATCCAGTCAGTTACCCTTAATGACCAGCGGTTGCCTTGCCTACGTGCTACGTGGCCGGCCCACGTGCATTTCTTCTTCATGATTTCAAGTCAAGATATCCTACACCCCGGCTTGTTCCCTGACCCACTCTGCTCTTGTCTTGTTTCTCAACACGTACCTATCGTTTCCCTTTCCATCGCTCCCTGCGTCGTCCTTAATTTAAGCTGAGCCCTCTTTGAAAGCTTCCAGGCTCCTACTGCGTAGTTAACTACCGGCAAGATGCAGCTGTTATATACCTGCCTGTTGAGGGTTAGTGACAGATTACCATTCAGCTTTCAACAGTTTATGTACCTCAAACACGTTTGATGCCTTCCCCACGGCATGGTTGAGGTGTCGATAGAGAACAGAAGCAGAGCTGCATATTGGTAACGTGATAAGAAGGCGCCTGAATACACTGTCGTGCTGTGTTTCTGAAGGAGCTACCATTCGTTGTGTCACGCATTTGCTTGCAAAGCGTGCCGTTAATTCCACACGAAAAGGGATCTCATGATGATGAGCATTTAAAAGAATACGAACGCTAAAGGTTCACAGGTCGGGCACATATGCACGATTTTTTGAAAACTGATGCTTCCAAATGAAAAGCATTTTTAGCGAGCTTTGGCGACTTTAAGCGTATCCATTCATCCATATCTATCACTACATCCACGATGTTGCAATGCATGCACGTGGTTTATATGCGCACAAGTTACCGTCGCCTAGACTAGTCGAAATCAGCAAGAAGAAATGGGCATACACAAAGCATACAGCGCAAAGGCAAGATGTTCCCAGGTAATTAGGGCCAACAGACTGTATTCTAAAAAAGCCAAGCTCGCAAGAGGAGGGAAAATGGGCAGACGTAATTAAGAATATTAAGGTGATAACATGGCCCCATAAACAACTGAATGGAGTTAACTGTCGATACTTGGAAGATGCCCTTGACTTCCAGTGGGCACAGCGAGGTCAATGATGAAGCTTTAGCGATACAGACGTACCGGATTTATCGTGAAAACACGTGGGCATTCGTTCTTTTGTGTGTCTGCGCTTCATGCTTCGCTATGCTTCATGGAATGCCGTGATAACGGAACAATAAGCACACATTATTCTCTATTTATTTCTGCACATGTACCGAATACACACAGGGCGCAGTGTCATATATATATACACAGCAAATATTGCTTGTCATCCATAAAAGTGTAGGTTAGACAAACTACAGCATCGGCTGGAAGTCACGGTTCAGTGGCTTTGCGAGTCCTATGAAAGTAGCTGTAGAACAACTTAGGAAAGCAGGGACCATTTCTAATGAGATCTTCACCAGCTCCGCCGCTTTGTCTTCGTAACCAGGTGACCGTAGTAACGAAGGTGGTATTGATTGGTTGCCTGTAGTGGACGTGCAGGCACTTAAGTAGTGGTAGGCTCTGCCGGACACGGGCCACGTAGTTCGGCAAGTCACTTGGCTGCACACACCTGTAGAACAGGAGGTACAAGTACTGGAGGTCGGCGAAGTGGAACGGGTGGGTCTGGAATTGAAACAATTTGCAAATGTCATAGCTGTCCTAGTGCATTGGAAGTTCGAACAGCGCAAAGGTGACTGTCAAGCAAAGTTGTCGGTAGCCAAATACACCTTCAGTGTGGCGGTCTGCATTAAAAGCTATAGAAACAAAATCATATGATAGAAACAGCAGCAATGACTTAAAAATTGTTTTTTTTTGCGCATCATTGAAGAAGAAAATAAAGGAACAAAAAGTAGTGTAGGAAAAAGCTGAAAATCACAAACCGTGCAGAAGAATGTTAATGAATTGGTGGATATTTGGAGATTAACGTCTCAATACCACCATATGATTAAGATAGACGCCGTAGCGGAGGGCTTCAGAAATTTCTATCACCTGGGGTTCCTTAATGTGCACCCAAACCTGAGCACACCGGCTTACAACATGTCGCATCCTTTGAAATTGCAGCCGCCACAGCTGGGATTCGATCCCGCGACGAGTGGGTCAGCAGTCGAGTGTCTTAACCACCTGGACCACCACGGTGGGGCAGGAGAACGAAAAGAGATTGCAGAAACAATAGGGTGTCAGAAGATGTCAGAATGAGTAACAGTACAAAAGGATGAACAAGTGAGAGAAATGAGCCTGTGTAAGTAGAAAAAAAAGTTCTAAACTGATTGAAGTGAAGAACAAAACTGAACACATACGCACATGCAAGCGCAAAACTCCCAACTGACATTACAAAGAAGCAGCTGCTCTATAGGCTCTCAAAAATGAAAAGTTTGCAAAGAAATGTCGCAATGGCCTCGCAAAAATAAGATCGCATGCGCATTACAAACGCGGGAATGACCTGATGTGGTGATTGAATAATTATATGGCATCCCTTGACAGTGACATGTTAGGAGAGCTGACGCAGCTAGGGACCACTATACAGCACGCAAGAAGGCTAAAACCAGTTGGTGGTAAGAGCAACGGAATGGTTGTAAGGTAAATACAATCAGGGTAGGCAAGGAATTCGACGAAGGTTTGAAAGTGATCTTGAAATGGACTAAAATAGGCGGACGAGGATGGCGAGAGCCACAACTTATATTGCTAGGTATAAGAGAAAACCGGACAGTGAGAGTACAGAGTGGTGTATTACGGCACATGAGCACTATAGAATGTCGCCCCCGAGGCACCGATCTCTGACATGTCTAAGGAAGAGGAGCAACAGTGAAATGACACCAGGTAGAATAAAAGACAAATTAACATTCACCACGGCTGCTCTTGTCTACACGTGTCAAATGCAACGAAGGAGCGAGACTCACCAGCAAAGCCACGTCGTCAAACCCAAAAAATTCGTGCTCTATGATCAGGCAGCTCGGACCCATGCTGTGGGTGAGTGCACGACCAATACTCTCGAAATCCAGCTCCGAAGGGCAGCCGCCCAACCGCAGTGTAGACACTGGCCTGCAGCACTCGATGAACCACCGACACGCAGCGTCGTGGACTTGGCTCAAAGTCAACCTGGCAAGACCGTTCCGAAAGGCGGGACTGGCGGAGCGGGGAAACTCGTTAGCGAAAAATGGGTCACTGTCACATCCAGCGCACTCGAGAATGCTGCGTCTTCTGTCAAAGCGAACGTCCAGTTCCTTGAAGTCGGGGCAGCACGCCGCCAGACGTGCTAGAGCCAACACGCCGCGAAAACCGCAAGGAGGCGCTGAGAGCGACTGCAGGAACGACAGACTGCCATCTTGAAGGAACGTGGCGACATCGAGGCCGGGTCCGAAATGGAATGTGTTTACGTTGAGCTCGACGAGGTGCACAAACTGCCTGCTCAATAGTCGAAGACCCTCTGAGTACGTGCACCCTGCGGTGGGATAGAACTTACCAGGACGCGGTGGTAAGAGTAGAAGACATAGTTGGCGCACGTTGCTCCAGTCGTGTTTAACGGTGGCCTCGCGGAACCATTCAGGCGTGAGGCTGTCGTCAACGGCGACCAGAGTCGTCTGGAACGGCATAGTCTGTTGTTGGACGCTGATCCCCACGAGGTCCCGCAGTCGGGCACAGCTCCGAAAGTTCACCGACTTCTGGTGGGTTAAGTTTGCGCAAACAGTGGCGTAGGAAACAATATCAAACGTAGCTGGTGGTTCGCGCACAATATATGAAGGCAGTTCAGAGGTCAACCTGAACGCGTCCAGTTTCGCGTGTTCTGCAAGGAGGATGTGGCACTCTCTTACGGCTTCGTGGAAATCACCGCACACTAGGTGCACGTGCAGGTATTTCGCGTTTGGGCAGCAACGCAGTAAGAAAGACAGTAGGCGGAATTCGTTCGTCTTTTGGCCACCTTCAACATACACGCGTTGCAGTTTCAGAGGTACGCTGCCTTCAGTGCCCACGATTGCGGATAGGCGTCTCATTTCAATGGTCCCTTTGGCTCCGAGAGGTGGGATGGAAAACTGTATCTCCTCGAGGTGGGGTAGCTGCCTCACCAATGTCAATAGGTCACTCGGCCGAATTGGGCAAGCGGTGCACATGAAGCGTCGGAGTTGCTTGCATTCGGTGATGAGGGGAAGCATTTGACGGACGTCGGCGCCGACGCAATTGGTGAGGTCCAAGTCTGTGACTGCCAGAGGTCCTCCGGCATGACCCAGCCGCTCGGCCAGTTTGCTCACTGGTTCGTGGGCGCGCAGGCGTACGATCATTTCGGTGCTCCGACAGATGATGCACGCTTGTTGCACGACAGCTTGGAGTGGTCTTCGTTGGATCGCTGAATGCGAAATATATGTTAACCGAGCTTCCCACGTGACCCTTGCACGGATAATATTAATCGCAGACGTCACAAGATGTGGAAGTAGTGAAAAAAAATGACATCACGGAAGAGCGTTTCACCAGAGATATGATGGCGAGCGAGTGAAAGAACTTTATTAGGTCGACAACAGGTGCGAGTTAACTCGACGTAACCTGGCCACGCCCACTCGGAGATGGTCAACAGAGCTTGCATTACTTTGACCCTGGGGTATTGTCGATGCACAAGCGTTGCACGCTTCGGTGGAAAATTTGTTTATTGCACGAAAGGTCACATCCACATGCCTCTTTATATTGCTAGACAATTGCAGAACTTACGCTTCAGTGCACGTACTTCGCGAAAATGCCGGTTTATGTTTTCAGCCATTGGCTCCCTCCAGGTTGTAGACTGGTCAACAGTGTTCTCTGACGTTCGGTGCTAGATTCGCAAATCGGAAGCGTGACTGGCATTTTCTTAATAAATAAAGCTATCATAACGATATCTGATTTATTTATTTATTTATTTATTTATTTATTCACAATACCTTACAGGCTCCTAATTGGAGCATTGTGTAAGGGGGGCGATACATGGTAAAACATGACTTGAGACAAATATAAAAAGATGAAATCAAGATGGTACACTATGGAAAGTGCACTGTGATCTAAACGACTGCCAGAAAAGCAATAGTAACACCCCAGTAGAAAAACTAGACAAAGGAAGTGCGTGCACGAAACACGAACCTAATTGACATGAACAGTTAGTGATTGTAAAATAAAGAAAATTTTGGCAGCGTTTACAATACTACAATGCAACATGATACAACGTTAAACAATTTGAAACATAAGATAACACATCTAGAGAGAATGAACAAGAAATAACTACGCAAGCATGAAATGTTCGAGTAGGCGGTAGTGAAAGGCTTTGCGATTTGTGATCGAAGTGATATCACCAGGGAGATCATTCCAAAGCTGAATGGCGTGTGGGAGCGCAGAACAATGAAACGCCTTTGTGTTGCCGAATATGCGCTCGAAACTGCCACGATTATGGAGCCGCCTAGACATGCGCAGTGGGGGTTTTTAAAGGGAGAGAATGAGGCCTGGTGTTTTGAAGGTATCCATGTAGCAGACATAAAAGGGAAACACACCGGCGAACCTGAAGAGGGTGCAGTGAAAGTTCGAGTTTTATTTTAGTAATACTGGATTTTCTTTCGTAATTTCCGGTAATAAAACAAGCGGCATGATTTTGAACAAGCTCTAAGTTAGTAATTAAGTAGTCTTGATAAGGGGGCCAAATAGATGAGGCGAATTCTAACTGCGGGCAAATGAAGGTAAAGTACGCTAACTTGCGAATGTTAGGTGGCGATTTACGGAGGTTACAACGAGAGTATCCAAGCGTTTGAGATGCTTTAGCACAGAGAGCGGTAATGTGAGGGCGCCATGAAAGATTGTGAGTCAAGATTATCCCTAGATACTTGAATGACTGAACACAAGATATGACAGAGTTGTTAATGACGTAGGAAAAAATCAGAGTTCGATTGTTTGTGGGTGAAAGAACTGAGTTTACATTTTCCGGGGTCCAATACCATGCGCCATTTTTGACACCACATATTTATAAGGTTAACTTCACTTTGCAGGATGTGGTGATTCTCGGGAGATGTTATTTTTCTATAAATGATACAGTCATCGGCGAACAACATAATACTTGAGGAAATATTGTTGGGCAGGTCATTAATGTAAATCAGGAAGAGTAAAGGGCCTAGAACGCTACCTTGAGGGACTCCGGAAGTTACATCAGCTAAGGGAGAAACACAGTTATTCATTACGGTGAATTGTTGGCGAGATGATAAAAATTTCTAATCCAAGATTAGCTAGCAGAGTCCAGTCCAAGGGAATTTAATTTGGAAAACAATCGACAATGGGCGACCCGGTCAAAAGCTTTGGAAAAGTCAAGAAAAATGCTATCGGTTTGTAGATTGTTGTCCATGTTAAAGTGCAAGTCAGAAGTAAGTTCAAACACTTGCGTATCACATGACATATTTTTACGAAATCCATGTTGATTTATGAAAAAGAAATTATAGTCTCCAAGTGGCGGTAGATGTGCGATGCAATTATGTGCTCTAGCATTTTACAGGAAATGCAAGTTAGGGAAATGGGGCGGTAGTTGTCTGGTTGATTTTTCTTTCCAGCTTTTAGATAGTTGTCCAGTCGACAGTGATTGCTTAATTATTATGCATAGTATTTCGCTAGAAAGCGGTAGGGCATTTTTTTCAATATCTTAGCGTTTAAATTATCTACACCCGCCGATGTTGATAGATTAAGGTTACTTATGAGACACGCAACTCCATCCTCAGTGACCGTTGTTGGTGTCATGTAAGGGTAACTTAAATCTGGAACATAAGGCACATTTAGGCCGCCCCGCCAAGGTGGTCTAGTGGGTAAGGTACTCAGGTGCTGACCCGCAGGTCGCCGGTTCGAAACCCGGCTGTGGCGGCTGCATTTCCACCAACTCCTACACTCCCGTCCACTCCTGTCCACCAACTCCTGTCCACCAACTCCTACATTTTGTTCTTAAATGCAAGCCAATTTTCAGCCACAGACTGAAGAGAGAAAGATTGTATAAAAAACTGACGGAAGAAGGCCGCTAATTCATTGTTCATGCCCTTGTAGTCCGCTCTAATGTAGTTATGAATGAACTTCATAGCCATGGAACCTATGTTTGGTACCGGTTTGTGGATGGTGAGTTGCAGGAGATTGTGGTAACTAAAACCATCACAGTATTCGATTGTGCCTATCGTATTAGGGGCGGTGGTTAGCACCAAATCTAGAATATTAGTACCACGTGTGGGTCTATTTACCACTTGTGAAAAGTTGAAATCCAACGAAAGGTTAATGAAATCAGTTGAAGTTTGGCAGGGTGACGATAAAGCGGGCCAGTCGATATTGGGTAAGTTAATGTCACCAAACAGGTACACGGGATCCATCGGACATCCCTTGATTGCAGCCGAGATGCTCTTTCGCAAATCATCTTGGAATAGCGGACTAGCATCGCGTGGTAGATAGCAAACGCCTATTAATATGTTCTTGGTGTGAACCCTACATGCTGCCCATATTATTTCGAGATCAGAGAACATATCAATTACGAATGATGCAATGTCGTTCTTAATGGCAAGCAGCACCCCTCCACCTCTTCTTTGTGTGAGGGCACGCCTATAAATGGTGTAGTTCTTATCAAATAGCGATTCCTTGTCCCCGATATTAGGGCACAACCAAGTCTCTGTAAGTGCTACGACCTTTGGACAGCTGTCATCAAGAAAGGATGAAACTAGGTCGCATTTCGGTAGAAGACTTCTGATGTTAAAGAATAAAACTGATAGCAGAAAAGTAGAGGTGGGTTTCGATGGTTTACTACGACCACACTTATTCCTCTTTCTCTCTAGTTATCGTGAAGATAAAACAACAGAGTTCGTGGAGGAGTCACAAACGTATGTCTCTCTATCTATTCGGAGCTTATCAACCGATGATCTATAAGGTTTAGCCTTTCCCCTGGCATATTCAAGCAATTTTCTTCTTGCTTGACGTGTTGAGGGTGAAAAGTCTTCGCTTATTCCAAATTTTGACCCTTTTAGTTTGCGGGCGGAAGCCAGAATGTTTTGCTTGTCCTTGAAGGCGGTCATTTTTGCTATTATAGGCCGACATTTGTTTGAAGCAAAGTGACCTAATCTATGTACCCAATCAAATTGTGAAGCAGTCATTGTGATGTCAAGATTTATGGAACAGAAAGATATGATCTTTAGTTCAGTCGTCGTCCAATCTTCCTTCTCATCATCTTCAATGCCAAAAAAAAGTATATTGGAACGTCGCACTCTATTTTCGGTATCATCGCACCGCGACGTTATGATTTTTAGTTGATTGAGGAGGTCAGAAACATTTGCAGCGTTTGTTCTACTAGGAGCGACCGCAGAGTAGGCCGCTTCCAGTGTCCCGACCCTTTCATTTAAGCTCTTGATTTCAAGGTCAGTCGCAACCTGTTTTTCCTTTACGCCCCGAAGTTCCTGCAGTATAGCGCTCTGACCTTCCTCGATTCTGCGAACTGTTTCCAGAACCGAAGCCATGGAGCGTGACAGATCGGCAATAGCAGGACCTGGGTTCTGCTCTACGTCTCCAGCGACTAAAAGTAGCAGATCAACTATACTAGAATACTTCAAGGCAGGAAGGAACAACAATTTCTTAGTGACGTCAAAAACATGAGGTGGGCACGACACCGCAATGAAGCAATCAACAGCAGAGGTCCTAACGCTATAGGCATGATTAAAATAACTAACCTGCGTTAGCGGTACCGGTAAGTGAACCATCGTGGCAGCGGTGTTGTGCCCAACTGCGAGAGTCAGAGGTAGGTGGTTATATCCCTCATCGTTATCTTCGATGATGGCCGTTGTCGACCCACGTGACCAAGCCTCATCACAAAGACCAGCAGCGCCAAGCGAGATAATGCCCACCGAGGCAGACAGTGTCGACCCGTACAGCTGAGTGCAAGAATGGCGCGCGGAAAGCCATGATCCAGATCCGAGAAGGAATGCAACCTGCGTTAGTTGTACCGGTAAGTGAGCCATCGTGGCAGTGGTGTCGCTAGTTATCTAAGAAAAAAATACTCCACCTCATAGTACCGAGGACAACAGTGCAAGTCTAGACAAGGACCAGGAAAGAAAAACTCGACAACGTTTGGCGTCATATTTTTCGTTGCCTGGCCCCTGTCGAAAATTTCCACGTAACCCTATAAAGGAGGCAGGAAGAAGAAGATGGAAGCTTCGTGAACGGGTGGTGGGAACGGGCGTGTGGTCTGCGGCCGATGTTTCGACAAGTAGACGGGTCGAAACGTCGGGTGCAGCCCACGCACCTTTTTAGCAATCTTTCATCGCGTTACCATGCATAGATAGTAACAAATACAAAGTTAAGAGAGGACACTATC